GTTAGAGGGTTGATATGTTGTGGGGTTGTTAACCAATGTCATAAAACAACATGTGTACTTCTGTTTCATGAGAAACTATTTGTTCTGTAAGCCTTCAACTGAAGTACAATTAAAACAAACAAAAACACTTTCTTGGGACACATAAAAAATGCTTGAAGAAATGGAAGATATAAATTTTTATTTAAAAGAAGATTTAATGTTATAGCAATATTAATTATCTCTGAATTAATATGTAAATTAGAGTTCCAAGGGATTCATTTTTAATTTGACAAAATTATGCCATGAGACTCACCAACAAAATTTCTTGAAATTATAACAAGAGGGCATTTTACTACAAAAGTATATTATAAAATAGAATTGATGTTAAAATGTATTAAAAAATAAAATAACTGATATAACAGAGGAATAGAGACATAGATCCATAGAGCAAAATGTAGAGCCCAAGAAATGGACATGTTTTTGTAAGAATTTAGCAGTAATAAAGATGGCATTGCAGGGCATGGAAAACTGGAATTATTCATTAGTAGGGCAACTATCTAAAAATACTACGTTAGATCCCTGCCTCATGTGAAACACCAAAACAAAGTGCATCTAGACTAAAGATTAAATGTTAGACATAAAACAACTAGATGAATATACAGGCACATATGTTTCTGATTTAAGACCTTTATAGACATATGTTAAGCAACAATTCTATTATGGACAAGATTGATACATCTGAGTATACAAAACATTAAAATTTCTCCATATACAGCAAAACTCAAACAACAAACAGGTGGAAACTGCGTCCAGAGCTCTTACAGACCAGTTATAAAAAGGTAAACACCAAGCAAAAAAATGGTAAAGGATTATGAACAAGTAATTTACAAAAGAAAAATTGTTATAGTCAAATGTATGAAAATGTCTCACAGTAACAGTATAGATACTTAATAATAAAAAATAAATAATGATGGAATGTTCCCTATTTTGTGTCCTACTCTGAAGAGTTTTGACACAGTGGATAAGAACTCCTGCCTTACACATTTGAAGTATGAAGATGTTTAGCTGTTTGAGGCCAGATTGGGTTTTCTCTGGCTCTTGTTTACTGAATTTTCAGGGTAAAGCCATCACTCCTTCCTACACTCAACAGATATTTATCAAATTCTCTAAGCTATATGCTACAGGGTGTTACGTATTTCAATAAGCCAGCTTCCCTGTTAATCAAGGAGCTTATCATTTCCTGAATGGAAAGCACACATGGACAAAACAACTCTGTGAGATTCCCTAAAGACAAGTTCAAAAACACTCCATAACGAACAAGGGAAACACCACGTTTAGTTGGGAAGGACTAGGGAAGAGGATGGCAAAAAGCCTGAATAAAGAGGTAAAATCTAAACTTGTCCTTAGAAATAAAGAATCTGCTGATGGAGATGGGCTTTCTTCCTTCTGAGTTCTTCTATACTGTAATCTGTCTGTAATTTTTATGTCTACCTTTATCATTTTTTAAGTGATGACTTAAATGGTAAATACGTGTGTTGTTTTTGTTGTTAGGTGCCGAGTCAATTTTCGACTCATAGCAACCTTGTGTGACAGAATAGAAGTGCCCCCTAGGGTTTTCTAGCTTGTAATCTTTATGGGAGCAGATCGCCAGGTCTTTCTCCTGTGAAGCTGCTGGGTGGGTTTATGTGTAGAGTATAATTTTTCATTCTTTGCTTCTAGGTATCGACTCATTGGTTCCTCATCTGCTGCTTGTCTCCTCCTCTCAGGCAATAACGTCATTTGGGATAAAGAGGCACCTATTTGTGAGAGTGAGTTGAAATATTTCCCCCCTACTCCATTTGATCCTGATTTGCCTCTGGAGTTACAAAGAATAAATGCAGTCCTTCTTGTACAGAGTAGTCCCTCAGATATTTGAAAATGAGAGTCATGTGCTGCATAGCCCTCCTGGTTTTTCTTTATCTTCAAAGGTAATCTATCTGAAACTGTAGACTTGAACTCAGTTAAAATAATCCTACTATCCTGCTTTGATAGTAGACTCTTTCCAGGATAAGGATCATTTTATTCAGTGAGTAAATTTTAAAGACATTAGAGAAAATGTGTTGTGTTTCTCTGCCAGCTCTTAGTATCACATTTTAATCTTAAGGAGTGGACCACTCTCTTCACCATTCTTACTCTGATTAGTAAAAGATCTTTTTATTACTCTCAGCAATTTCCCTAATTTTATAACTCAGAATTTCCCCAATTCCTCTGGTCATTCTCAGCTTTGATCTTCCTTCACAATTCTTTCAGGGTCATGCCCTTGATTTTATTTGTTCTTGATTAGTGGACCCTCCATCTTTTGTGTATGGTATTTTAAAGTGAACCTCCAAATTCCGAGGAACATAAGAATGAATGATAGTAAACTGGCAAAGAGTTAAGGCTGTGAGGAAATCAGCATCACACAGAGAGTTGGTGGGAGTGAGTGGGCATAAACTTGGGAAGGCTAACAGGCAACAGATACAAAAAGGCATTAATGTAAATATCCTTTCACCCAGCAATTCCACTTCCCAGAACTCTGCCAAGAAAATAACCATGGAATTTTTCAAAGATTTCTAGGATTTTGTTCCAAAGATACTCAATGCAATATTATTTATGCTAGTGAAAAATATTAAGCAACCTAAAGGTTCAGCATGGTTTGAAAAGAAGCTAGTTGAAAATATAAGTCTTATTAAAAAATGGCTAACTTCTTTAACAATCAATATCCATAGAAGCAGCAGTCAAGAAATCAAACAATTTATTGTACTGGGCAAATCTGCCGCAAAAGACCTCTTTAAAGTTTTAAAAAGCAAAGATGTCACTTTGATGACTAAGGTGTGCCTGACCCAAGCCATGGTCTTTTCAGTCACCTCATATACATGCAAAAGATGGGCAATGAAAAAAGGAAGATAGAAGAAGAATTGATACATTCAAACTGTGGTATTGGTGAAGAAGGTTGAATACACTACAGACTGCCAGAAGAGGGAACAAATCAGTCTTAGAAGAAATACAACCAGAATGCTCCTTAGAAGCAAGGATGGTTAGGCTTTAGCTCACTTAATTTGGACATGTCATCAGGAAAGACAATCGCTAGAAAAGGACATCATGGTTGGTAAAGCAGAGGGTCAGCAAAAACAAGGAAACCCTCAATGAGATGGACTGGACAGACACAATAGCCACAAAAATGGACTCAAACAAACCAATGATCATGAAGACGGCATAGGACTGGACAATGTTTTGTTCTGTTATACATAAGTCAGAGCCTACTAGCAACAACAACAACAGTTCTTTAAGAAAAGGACAAAAGAATACCACATGGAAGTAAAGGAGGTGACACCTTGCCATGGATTGAATTGTATCCCCCCAAAATATGTGTATCAATTTGGCTAGGCCATGATTCTTCCAGTATTGTGATTGTCCACCATTTTGTCATCTGATGTGATTTTCCTATGTGTTGTAAATCTTATCACTATGATGTTAATGAGGTGGGATAGTTATGTCAATGAGGCAGGACTCAATCTACAGGATTGGATTGTGTCTTGAGCCAATCTCTTTTGAGATATAAAAGAGAAAAGCGAGCAGAGAGACAGGGGGACCTCATACCATGAAGAAAGCTGTGCCAGGAACAGAGCGTGTCTTTGGACCCAGGGTTCCTGCACGGAGAAGCTCCTAGCCCAGGGGAAGATTGATGAGAAGGACCTTCCCCCAGAGCCGACAGAAAAAGCCTTCCCCTGGAGCTGACACCCTGAATTTGGACTTCAAGTGTTCTAGGCGGGGTTCTCTAGAGAAGCAAAACCAGTAACGCATATATATACACACATATAAAGAGATTTATATCAAGGAAACGACGCACAAGATTGTAGAGGCCAGAGCATCCCAAGTCTGTGGATCAGGACAGAGGCTTCTCTAGATTCACCTAGCCACAGGGGCTGGCGAACTCAAGATTGGCAGGTTGAAAAGGAGGGCTCCCACTCACAGGTTGTGAAGGTTGACAATCCCAGGATCGGCACGTAAGCTGATAGCTCAAGTCCCAAGAACCAAAGGTCAGACGAACAGCAGGCAGCCGCAGGATCCAGAGCGAGCAAAAAGCCAGAATATTGCTTATATTCGGATGCAGGCTACACCCCCAAGGAAACTCCCTTTCAACTGATAGCTACTCACAGCAAATTCCATCATGGGAGTGATCACATATAAACCCTGAGAATCATGACCCAGCCAAGCTGACACACAATTTTAACCATCACGGCTAGCCTAGTAGACTATGAAAGAATAAACTTCCGTTTGTTAAAGCCATCCACTTGTGGTATTCCTGTTACATCAGCACTAGATGACTAAGACACACCTCATCTGAGTGGAAATAGATAGTTTATCTATATATCTACAAGCTGGAATATTATTCAACCACCAAATATGACATTATGGAAAATATTTCCAGATACACATGTCTGCACACACATCTGAAAGATATACATTAAATTGTTTAGATATCTCTTGACCATTATCAATTTCTTCTTTTTTGCTTATCCATATTTTATAAATTTCCTACAATGAATGTGTATTATATATATAATTGTGTATATATATATGTATATGTATATATACATATATATATACATATATATATATATAAAAACACTGGCTTTTAACGATTCAAAGAAATGAATTGGAACCTTTACAAAGTGCCTCCTTTACCTGCCAGGAATTTTTGATTCTCTGAAAAAATTCAAATTACCCAAGGAATTATCAGTTTACTACAAAAATTTGTCTAGGCCCAACATCTATTTGGGGCTTATCTTCTGTGAAAAATGTTTCCATTTCTACTGTATTTATAGGTCAAATAAACATTTGATTGAGTCAGTATTGGTTATAAATGTGTGTGTGTATAATCACTTATACCAATATTTTCAAAATTATTATCCTAAGATAGAAAATATATTCATTTATCATTTCATTTTATTACTGCCGAATCTGTGACTATTTCATTTCTCATGCCTTTTATATTATTGTTTTGTCTCCCTTCTTCTCGATGAGTACTGCCAGAGGTGGTATATTTAACCTTCAAAGATGTTATTTAGTAACTAATAGAAAAAAAATAACATATTCATTCAAAATCACAAATATGTAAACCATATTAATATGTGGGTATTCTAACATGAAATAATTACTATGGGCAGACCCAAATTACATACATAAAAATTTCAAATATTTAAAAATGTCTGATTATTAATAAATATTAGAAGGAAATAACAGTATTGTAATTAGTTACAGTTTAGGAAGTCACTTCATTCTTTCATTTTTTATTTAAATTCACAGTAAAATAATTCATAGTAAAAAAAATTAAGCTGTTGTTTAATACACTTTCCCTTTGTCCAGGCATATCTTGTGAGCCGCCTGCCACCATAGCCCATGGATACTTCAACAGCAGCAACAGAAAACTTTTTCATTATGGAACAGTTGTCACTTACTATTGTCACACTGGGCCATCTGGAGAAAAGCTGTTTGACCTGGTGGGAGAAACATCAATATACTGTACTAGCAAACATGATCAGCTTGGAGTTTGGAGTGGCCCCCCTCCTCGGTGCATTTCTAACAAATGCACAGCCCCAGAAGTTGAAAATGGAATTCAGGAATCAGGCAATAGGAGTTTTTTTTCCTTAAATGAGATCGTGATGTTCAGATGTCAGCCTGGCTTTGTCATGAGTGGGTCCAGGATTGTGCAGTGCCAGGCCAACAACAGATGGGTGCCTGAGTTGCCCAGCTGCTTCAGGGGTGAGTGTAATTACTTAAGACTCTCCAGGGAGTGGGGGCAGTGATGAATGAGAGGACTTGTTGAAACTAAGAAGTGTGTGTGTGTGTGTGTGTGTGTGTGTGTGTGTGCATACACACAATGAAACCAGTATAAATGCTCTATCATACCAGCTCCACTGTCTTATCTCTCATAATAATAGTCAAAAAACAACGGTTTATTTCTGTGTCTCATCTGTGATGAACACCTTTTATATGAATTGTTTACTATTTATAACACATATATAAGGTAGAACGATTCTTATCCCCATTTTATATTAAGAAAACTGAGTCTTAGCAATGTTAAATAACTTTTCCAAGGCCACAGAGCTAGTAACTAACAGCACACCACCTTTCAATAGCCTTTCTTACTCCAGAGCCTAATGATAATGTAGGGCGATACGTATGATGAATAACAGTGTACAATGATGATGATAATGGATCTGTCACTGGAAGAAGGCAGCAGGAAAATGAGCCACGGGGACTGAAATCATATTAGATCATATTAGCATCATATTAGAAAGGTCTTAGCATCATAAATCATATTAGACAGGCCTTAGAGCTCAGTCATTCTCTTCCAACTCCTCATCTTCTTGCTGAAAACCTAAGGCCCAGAAACGGAAATGAAATGACTTGCTCAAATCCAAAATTTCTTTTTTTTCACTTTTCTTCCATTCTGACTGAGGTTCAGATTGAGGCTCAAATGTGTTCTGATGCCCTGAGCACACACCAATTGGGCTGTAGATGGGCATAGCCAAAATTTGGGCCAAAACATGTTCTAAGCAATGTGTTCTCTCAGTAAAACGTCTGCAGCTTTATTTAGATTTTGTCCTCAGTTCCTTCCTTTATCTTCTGATGCTGAAATGGCTGGCATAGCAGCAGAGCAGGGAGAATCCCGGCTGGCAGAGGGACAGAGAGGATGTGTACAGTTCAGCCTCCCTAGTAACTGGAAATGGAGCCGGGAGGAACAAAGCAAGGATGACATGTGATGCCTGTACAGTGAGCTAGGCGAGGGGGTCTGTTGGATGAGACTTGGGCAAAGGTATCTCCTGTTGCTGTCCAAAAGATGATGCCTGAAGGGCTCCCTTCTAGGAAGAGTAAGGATGGGTCAAGACATCAGCACTCAGTTCTGTGCTGGATGGTCAGTACCTGGAAGCAAGAGGACCTTCTGCCTTATAATTTTAGGAATGTGTTTTAGCAGAAAAGACACAGACGAGGTGTTGGAGAGACCTTGGTTCTAATCACAGCTCTATTATTGGCTGAAGGACGTTCGATAAGCCACTTGGCTTCTGTGTCCTTAGTTTCAGCAGCAGGAAAACAAGTATACTGAACTACTGGAGATTTTTCTTTAGCATCTTCTCTTCTGTAATGATGATTTTCAAGCTCCCTGGCAAGCATAGAGGATAGCAAAAGATATTTCCTCATAACTGACAGGTACTTTGGACCTGTTCTTTCCACAGTGTGTCAGCCACCTCCAGAAATTCTACATGGTAAATATTCCCCAAGCAACAAGGACAACTTTTTCCCTGGGGAGGACGTTTTCTACAGCTGTGAGCCTGGCTATCATCTCAGAGGAGCTGCTTCTCTGCGCTGTAAACCCCAGGGAGACTGGAGCCCTGCAGCCCCCAGATGTGAAGGTGCCTAGGCTCTCATCTCATTTGCAGATCAAGCTCTTTATTGCACAATCTCAGTCATATTCCTGTTTTTTTCTAGTGAAATCATGTGATGATATCCTGGACCAACTCCCTAATGGCCGTGTACTCTCTCCTCCTAGTCTCCAGGTTGGGGCAAAAGTGTCCTTCATTTGTGATGAGGGGTGAGTGTGGCCTGGAATAGAAGCCAGGGACTGAGTGAAGAATAGCAGCTCTTGGGGCTGGGAGTTAACCCAAAAGGGAGGCATGACCTAATGGAAAATAGGTAATCAGGGAGATTAACTTCTGGAAGAGTAGTTTTAAAATAAGGGTAAGGACTCAGTGGCACCACTATCAGGAGGCAAAGAGAAAATGGCACATATAACTCCATGTCAAGTATAAACATAAACACAACCTCTGACCTTGAATGCCTGGTTGGAACTTGAAGTGAATAGGTAGGTTGCTGGAGGCAGGAAAATGTAATTTTAAGCTAGCAAAAAAATCTGATGTATCATACAAAAATTGTTTGCAATGTCATGCAAGGGTTGTTTCAGGAAACTTAAAACCAATCAATAGTGGGATTTATAATAGTATAAGTATTTTTTAATCCAATAATGCATCTTCACTGCAGTAACGGGACTTTGACATTGGGATCACAATGTTATTGTTGTAGGTAGTATTATTAGTTGTTTATATGAATCTAGTAGCCTTAGTGTTGTTCACTATCAGTCTTCAGAAAGCAGCAAGACTGGGCAATAAAGCAGTTATTTTTAATATGTTTCAAGAACTTGATGGCATTTCCAAAAAAGTCTCTCACCCAGTTATGATCAGCAGGTTTCAGAACAACAGGATCCAGTAATAAGCTGGATGTTTCAGGGTGACTTTCTGCAAAGAGACTCCTCCCCTCACCCTTCTCCCTTTTCCTAGAACAACTGCCCCAGGGTGCTTCTGTAAGCCTCCTTCTGGCACATTACAAATGTAGTGGCAAGGAGAACAGTGCCTGTTCTCTTTCCAGATATTCTCTGCTTTACACACCCAATTCAACAGCTGTTCTTCCTCATGACATACTAATAAGTGGGATGTCAAAGGTTCATCAGTGAGAAATGACCTGCAAAGAGACTGGGTCCTAGTGCACAGAGAGAAGTCTGGCTCTGTGTTCAGTGCCTTCCACTGCTGATACTGGGCTATGACATCTGTGTGATTATTAAGCATTTGCCACTGGATACTGTGAGTCCTTAGAAAAATCTGGCCTCTGAATTTCTGCCAGCTACTGCATTCAGGTCCCTAATGAACCAAGACTTCTGGCTGGGCCTGACCCTAAGAACTGACTGGTATTTAGGCCGAGCATCTATCAGTGAAGAGAGGCAGGGAATTGCTCACGGATTTGCTACCACTTTTTTTTCTTTAGGTTCCAACTAAAAGGCAGTTCTATTAGTCACTGTGTCTTGGTTGGAAAGAAAGGCCTTTGGAATGGCAGTGTTCCTGTCTGTGAACGTGAGTAGAAGGACTAACTATGCAGCCTGAACATTTCTCTCTTTTTTTTTTCCTAGTGTGTTTTGCCTCATGCAATCACCTGTTGTTTGCATCTCTGTTTATTTAACTAAATTACTGAAATAGTTCTTTGTTGAGAGAATGTCAAGAAACATCTTCTGGGTCTTGTACATCATACGTTTATGACACTAATTTGTAAGTCACTAGTTTAATCACTGTTAAATTCTGTAGGAATATGAGAGGAGAAACTAGATAACATGAACGTGTATCAAATTTTATTTTTTACTTTTGTCATTGGGGGGTAAACTCTCTTAAATTTTTATGTTCTTTTATCCTTGTACATATCTAAACTATTTATTCGGCCTGTTATTTAGTCTAAAGTGTTTACTAAGGAAGGGCTTGTCATAGGCCAGGACCTGGGGAGAGAGGAATGAATCAGAGTCATCCCTGCTCTCGTGGGGTTTACTTTCTATTTGGGGAGGCAGACAATGAACAAAGAAATAAATAAGCAAATAAAAAATTAGCATGTATAAAATAGTAAGTTTAATAGTGGTAAGTATTACTGAGAAATTAAAACAGTTATGTGATAAATTAACATGGTATGGGAATACCTTGTTATAAATCTATTGGGACATCTTATATTGAGTATGATGATGAAACTTTATAAGAAAATTCAGTATGTAGAAACTCAAGTATCCAACAAACTCATCCTTCTAGAGACACTTGAAGCTGAAAAAAACATATATAAATAAACTCTGGGGAAACCCAAACAAATCGATAAATTCCAGGGATAAGAGGTCACTCGTTGTTTGATGTACAAAGGCCCTCCCTTTGGTTATATACACAATTGTGACAAGTATAGGTACCTACTCCTAAATCCACATCAGATTAGAACATCCAATTAGTGTTAGGGAGAGGACTGCTCCAAACATACACTAAAAGCAGAAAGAAATGACAGCTGAACTCTTGGAAGAAAGAAAAAAACTTAAAATCAAAGGCACTCTGGAGCCATTTAATCTGGGTATAAAGAATTATCAATATATTCTGATGACACTATTGGATATTTGGTATTGGTACTGATGAAGATGGTCTTGGTCCATCAAGAGACATTTATATCTGTTGAAGATAACAGTACGTGTTTAATAAACTTCACAAAGTCTTTCTGGAGCATAAGGTGTTTCAGGACTGGAACCTTGTCTCTCTTAAACCCCATTCCCATTATCAACCCAGGAATCTTATGATGCCTGACATAAAGTAGATGGTCAAATGGTTGTTGAATAAAAATGGTTAAAATTAATGTTTAAAATTTTTTGTTTCTTAGAAAAACTTGCCTATCTGGAAGGTCCAGGAGAGTTGAGGTCTTTTGGGCTTTCGCAATAAACTGTTATTTAGTTCTCGCCTAACTTAGTTCCTTCTCAGCAAAAGCCTCACATAGTTAAATTCCATCCACCTTAGTTATATTCTTTCTAACAGAATAAAAAATTATTCTCAACATAGTCACAGGACACCATAAAATAACCCAATTAAAACTCTAATGGAAATTTTTTCTAGGAATCTTTTGTCCAAATCCTCCAGCGATCCTTAATGGGAAACACACAGGAAATGGTCTAGGAAACATTCCTTATGGAAAAGAAGTATCTTACATGTGTGACCCCGACCCAGACAGGGGGATGAACTTCAGCCTCGTTGGAGAGAGCACCATCCGCTGCACAAGTGACAATCAAGGGAACGGGATGTGGAGCGGCCCTGCCCCTCGCTGTGAACTTTCTGTTGGTTAGTGCCCATTTCCCCATGTCCCACATGGGTCAGAATATCTAGGCAAGAACCTCCTTATTTCTACAACGACAAGTCGTTTTTGGTTGTGAACATGGCTGTTATTAATGGCAGAGAGAGAACTACCTTCAGGTGAACCACATACGGGTTCTAGATGTGCCAAGTGTTGTCCCAATTGGTAATATTCCAATGGCCCTTCCTGCTGGAGTAGGGAAAGTGGAATAGTGTAAAGAGGAGAAATCAGTGAGGACCAGATTTTGTAGAGAATATTTGCAAAGCACCGAAAACAAATGCCTAAGAAAATAATCTTTTCTGTCATCTCTACTACGAGTTGTCTTTATGCTAGGTAGTATAAAGCTGTGCTAAGGAAAACATACATGTTGATGGCAGTAAGTTACTTTAGAACTGATAATGCTATAAAATTATTTAAAGAAACCGAGACATAAGCATTTATACTCCTTGTGTTACTTCTAAGTGTTCTGCTCATGAGTGTACTTTGTCGACCCTTCACTGCACCATTAGCAAAGAGAGCTCAGGATGCCCTGAGAAATGGAGTACCTCTATAGATCATTCCTTTTACATATTAGTCTGGCTCTAATCTAAATGACAGTACTTTACAGTCACAGGCTCATTTGTGGCTGTGATTGAGCACACCAGTTCCATCCTTCAGTGAGGACAGAACATTGAACTGGTACTCCCACCTGATACAGTCTGCAGGTGGAGAATACAGAGGACCACTGAAGGCTGAGAGGTCTGGGTTTAAAGACTCAGCGTTTCCACTGATCAGCTAGCCATTAGTGGCTTAGGACCTGCCTGCATCGGGTCTTCATGTGCCTCTAATAGGCAGAGATATTATTGGATGTGTTGGCTTGTTCATATTTCTATGCTTAATTGAATGTCCTTTCATGTGTTTGTGTGGGAACTTCCCTTCAGTATGCCCACCTCCATCCAAGATCCACAACGGGCATCATACTGGAGGACATGCATCTTCATATTCTCCTGGGATGATAGTCAACTACACCTGTGACCCAGGCTACCTGTTGGTGGGACAGGCCTTCATTTTCTGTACACACCAGGGAACCTGGAGCCAATCTGACCATTACTGCAAAGGTAATTCATTTCCTGGAATTTCTTAATCTTGCTGAGTTAATGTTATGAAAAATGGATGTATGAGGCGAATAAGGCTGAGAGATCAGTTCTGAGAGGATAGTGAAATAATTATCAATAGAGGAGGAGAAAAACAGAACAAAAGGTAGGAAGAAAGTCTACTCAAGGATATTCAGCTCGACCAAATATGTACAAAGAACTGACGATATTTCCAGTAATGCAATAGACATCAAAAACCAACTTAAAATGCTTTACTAGCTTTTAACTAATAGACTATTTCAGCTACAAAGGACCTCAGGGGGTCATAGGTAGTACTCAGAAATACCCTTAGAAAGTAAGTAAGGAACTAGAAGCATACTCTGTTGTCAGGAAAATTGAGGCCTCAAGTGAGGGAGTGTGTTATCAACCATCCGCGAGCAAAGAGGTTGAGAGCAACTATTTCCTGGCATTACTGGATATGGAGGTTCACTTTGATACCCAAGACCAAAGGTGGGGAGTTTATTTACTCTCTTCCATGGAACAAGTCCCCAGGAATTGTTTACTTTATTTCTGTCTGTGTTTTCAAAAAAGACACGATTGTAAAAGTCTTTGTTGGCAACATTCTAATAAGCTACAAAATGGGAATTAAAAATAATATTGTATGACTAGGCACTGTACTGAACTCTTTATAAAAGTTATCTGTGTTATCCTCAGAAGAATCCTGTGAGGTGGGATTATGACTATTGCTCTCTTACAGAGGAGGACACTGAGGCTTAGAAAGGTCCAGTAACTTGTCTACACAGCTCATGAGTGATGATATAAAGATTGGGCCCCAGCTCAGTCCCTGCTTTTAAACACTGCATTGTGTACTCTCTCATTTTAAATGCAGTTCATTGACTTTAAAAAAGTATAAGTTAAGTGATTTTGCTTTTTATTATTTTCTTTTTAGAAATACTAGACTAAGAGCAGGGGCAAGGTAGGAGGGACTTCAGACATGCCTATGTTTCAAAGGTTAAGAAGCAGTTAGCCCCGTGGCATGCACTGGTTTCAGGATCATAGGGTCCTTCCTGTACTAGGAGTCTCAGAAATCTTCTAGTGTTCCTAGCCGTCTCATCTTACTGATGGAACAAATAAGGCCCACCACAGAGATGGCAAGTGAATGCCGTGTTTACTTGCAAGTGTGGAATGAACAGAGTTTCTGTGACTCTGCAGATGTCTGAAAGTTCATCCTTCTTTGCTTTACATAAAGAAATGTGAAGATTCAGGGAATATTTCAAAAATTAATTGTACAAATTAAGAGTCTGTGAAGGGTCATGTCTTGAACATAAATGGGTATTATTCTATTTGCTTGGTAACTGCTTTCTTTTCATCTATGTAAAACTGATTTTGTCTAACTTTCCTGCTCAGACTTGTCTTATGGCAGTGGTTCTCCATCTTCAGCATAATCAAAATCAGCCTGGAACTTTCTGTAAAAGGCAGATTCTTAAGCTCCATTCTCATGGATTTTGATTCTGACCATTCTGAGGTGGAGTCTAGAAGTTTATTTTTAACAAACCCGTCAGAATATTCTGATAAAAGATCAGAGACCACACTTTTAGAAATACCACTTTACCTTGTTGATTCTAATAAAGGAAAAAAAATTGGGCTGATTTTGAGACTCTCACAACTGAAAAGCAGGCTTTGCTTTAAGTTGGAGGAGGTATTGATGGCTGGGCAAAAACAGAAAACAAAACAAGGAAGACTTATATGAGATAAAGTAAATTAAGTAGAAAAATTATATTTTAAATTCAGAATCATAATTTACTGACTTCTTTGTTCCATATATAGAAATGGATCAGAAATATATATTGAATCATGAGGCAAAATACCAATATTTGTTGTATATTCAGAGAAAGTTAACATGATAATCCTGTTTCCTTATAGTTAAGCCCACATAGATCCGGGGCTAGAACATGGTTATACTAACTCCTAATCTTTCTGCAACCTTCCAGTTGCAGAGCTGTTAATAATTAAAAGTGGATGTGCAGTACACTCCATACTCCCTTAATTTACATAAGAAATGAAACTCACAGATTTTTAAATAATAAGGTATTTGGGCAGGTCAATAATTCTTGATTGAAAATGTGCCCCCCTGTTTGCTGAGGGCAAAGTAGGTTTAGGGGCATAGATCTTTCCACTACGGCAGTTTCAACTAATAATCAACAATAAAACATCAATTTCCTTCTGATTTTTCTAACTTCAGAGGTACAATGTAGCCTCCCACGCTTTATGAATGGAATCCAGAAGGAGATGAATTATAAAAAAGTTTATCACTATGGAGATAGTGTTACTTTGGAATGCGAAGATGGGTATATTCTCGAAGGCAGTCCCCAGAGCCAGTGCCAGGAGGATGACAGATGGGACCCTCCTCTGGCCATGTGTACATCAAGTAAGTTCAAGTGCTCGGACAGAATGTAAGCCCTGCCCAGTCATGTTTACAGTTCATTCATTCAACCACACAGGTATCAAGTGCCTGTGCAGTGTATGGTATATGCTAGGAGTTAACAAGTACAATATGGGCCCCATCTCCTCCCAAACAGCCCGAAGCAGTCGGGGTAAGGCAGGCCTTGATTTCCTCACACTTCTCACTACATCCCAGGTATAATCCGTCTCTCCTCGGGGCCCACTCTTAACCTTTTTTGTTTATATCACTCTACTGTTACACGCATCACACAGTAGTGATCTGTTTACAGCCCATGGCCTTAAAATCGAGGAACACATCATTGGTAAGATTAGCCCTGAACAGATACTTTCAGGAGTGTGAAGCAAGATGGTGAAGTGAATGGACGCTCCCACCTACTCCCCCAGCAACTAACACACAGAACAGTGCATACAAACAAGCACAGACTGAGATCTCAGAACTTCAGACAGCAGCTGAGGTGTTGGAGAGTTGGGGTGAGTCCAGAAGTGGGGAAGAGGAGGAGCATGGATGGTAAAGAAGCTGGGAGAACTTACCTGCTACCACTGGGAGCACTCACTCATCACAGCCATTTTGGGACAGGGCTAGGCAACACCCCAAATAGGGAACACAAAAAGTGAGCTAATCTGAGGAAGATGTAGCCTGATTTTTTGAGGTGGCATAGATTGGCCCTGGCAGTTCACAGGCAGTGCAATTAGAAGGGGGTGAATGGAGACCATGGCGCTGTGATGGTGTGCTGTTGAATCTCACTGAGGTCCAAGATAAATGCATACTAGGACCGAGAGGAACTGGAAGGGCAGCAGGACTTCAGACAGATGGGCAACAAAGAGGGAAACGGCTAGCTCCCTGCCCACAGTAAGACATCATGGGACAGACACCCTGTGCAGGGGCACCCATGAGGGAAAGACATAAAGAGCTCCCCACCCCTACCACAGGGAAGTTGAGCCCCACCCCTTATGTCAGCATCTGCAACCAGTTAAACTCACTCTCCCATGCATGCATATTGAATTCCAGAGATCAAGCAACCAGAACTCCTGAATCAGCACTGAAAAAAACCTAAGGATAAGAGTGCCCTCTAGTGGTTCTTAGGAGAAGATACTAAGAAAACTGCCGCTGGGTCAATTCTGACTTACAGCAACCCTCTCTGGTGGAGTGGAGCTGCCCTGTGGGTTCCCAGGGCTGTGAGTCTTTGCGGAGGCGAGCTGCCACATCATTCTGGCCACTTTTGGTTGTCAGCCACTGCACCACCAGGGCACCCAATCATAAAATTTTCCCAGAAAAATCAGAATACAAAATTTAAACTAAAAAAAAAAAGATAGCAAAATGGCCCAAGTTCAACAAAACACAGTAAAACACACAAAATCACAAGAGAAGAAGGACCAATCAAAAGCAAAACATGAAAAGAGGAAATTTCTCCTATTGAGGCCAGACTAATGGAATGGATTGAAAATTTTTAGACTATGGTGCTAACTATGTTTAAAGAAAGCAAAAAGCATACAGAAATCAAACTAGTGGAGATCAGAAAACAAATGAAAGAACAAAATGAGAGGCTCAACAAGGAAATTGAAAACCTCAAACAAAACCAAAGAGAATTACTGAAACTGAAGAATAAAGCAACTCAATTAGAAAAAGCAAAAGAAACACTCAACAATAGAGTCGAACAGACAGCAGACAGACTACATGAAGTAGAAAACAAAATAACTGAATTCATCAGCTCTCAAGAGAAACAAGAGAAAAGACCAAAGAAAAGCAAACAAACCTAAAAGGAAATATGGGATTTAGTTAAGAAATCTGACATTAGAATTATCTGAATCCTCGAGCACCATGACAATAAGGGCATAGAGACAATTTTCCAAGAGATAATCAGAATGTCCCAGACTTGAACAGAGACTCAAACCTGCAAATACTCCTTCCTACATGAACTCAATTAGAAGAGACACAAAAAGATCAACTCCATGCCACATCCTAATAAAATTCTTGAAAACCAAGGACAAGCAGAGAATTCTAAAAGCAGCAAGAGAAAAATGCAATATAACATACCAAGGGGCTTTCCTAAGAATCAGTGTTGACTTCTCCCCAAAAACTCTAGGGGCTAGAAAACAACGGAGTGATGTATATAAAATACTGAATGAAAATAATTGCCAGCCAAGAATTCTTTACCCAGCAAAGTTGTCATTCAAAAATAAGGGGGAAATCAAGACATTCCTAAACAAACAGAAGCTCTGGGAATTTGCCACTACTAGACAAACTCTGCAAGTATTAGTCAAGGGAGTACTCCAAATGGGAAGGCAAAAGCATTAAATAAATACTCATATCTATACACAGGGAAGAAAATGAATAAATAAAAAATAAGAGAGAGATGTCCAAAAAACGCAATAACATGGGCAATCATAAGGACCAAGTATATGTTATTTTCAGGGAACAAACGCAATAATTAAATCTCACAAATGATATAACATCAAGTTTGTAAGAAATAAGAACAAAGTAAACTTACCAAATATAGGTTGTATATTGATGTTAATGGAGACACACTAACAGAAATGGGGGAGGGAGGAGCATATCAGGAATAGATTTATCATGTTAAAGTTATATGTTAACTGTTGTTCATACGTTAAAAGTTATTGCAATTGTAAGTTGTCTTAATGTAATATATATAGCAACTACTAAGAAATCACTCAAAAAAAATTTCAGAAGGAAGAAGCCAAAATGGCTCATCACAAGAAACCAGCCAAATGCAAACAAAATCAGAATCAACAAAGAAGATACAAAACACTCAAAAAACAAAGTGTGACAGACACTTCATTTTCAGTTAACAACCTTAAATGTAAATGGTCTAATCACCCTACACAAAAGGCAGAGAGTGGCAGAATGGATAAAAAAAAGACCCATTCTTTTGCTATCTACAAGAAACACACCTTAGACATAAGGACACAAACAGACTGAAAATAAGAGGATGGAGAAAAATATGCCATGCAACCAGTGGAAAAGAAAAGAGGAGAAGGGGTGGCCATACTGATATCAGATAAAAGACTTCAAATCAAAATCTACTACACGAGATAAAGAAGGACATTACATAATAATAAAAGGGTCAATCCAGCAAGAAGACATAGCAAATATAAATATATATGCACCTAACAGCAATGCTCCAAAATACATGAAACAAATAATGACTAATATGAAAGGAGAAATAGACAACTCCACGATAATAGTAGGGGACTTTAACACACCACTTTCAATTACAGACAGAACACGTAAAAAGAAGATCACTAAGGACATTGAGAAATTAAATAAAACCATAAGCCAATGAGACCTAAAAGACCTATTACAGAACACTCCACGTAGCATCAGAGCAGTACACATTCTTCTCCAGTGCACGTGGATCATTTCCCAGCATAGATCATATTGCTAGGACACAAAACAAGTCTCAACACATTTGAAAAGACTGAAGTCATACAAAGCATCTTCTCTGACCATAACAGTATAAAGCTAGAAATCAACAACAGGAAAAATAAGGAAAATAAATAAATAAATATGTGGAAACTAAATGATACACTATTAAAAAGCTATTGGGTCATAGAAGAAATCAAAAGTAAAATTAAAGTTTCCTAGAATCAAATGAAAATGAAGACACAACATATCAAAACCTTTGGGACACAGCAAAAGCAGTACTCAGAGGGAAATTCACAGCAATAAATGACTACATTAAAAAAGAAGAAAGATCTATGATCATTAACATAAACCGACTTGAACAAATAGAAAAGGAAGCACAAAAGAAGCCTTAAGCTACAAAAAAAGAAAGAAGGAAAGAAACTAATAAAGATCAGGGCAAAAAAGAAAGAAAGAAAGAAAAACAATAGAAAGAATCAACAAAAACAAGTTTGTTCTTTGAAAGTATCAATAAAATAGACAAACCACTGGCTAGACTGACAAAAGAAAAAAACTTGAACAGGCAAATAACCAAATTAAGAAATGAAATTGGTGACATTACAACTAATCCAACAGAGATAAAGAAGATCATAACTGATTTACTATGAAAAATTGTACTCCAACAAATTTGAAAACATACATGAAATGGACAAATTCCTAGAAACACACTACCTACCCAAACTAACACACAGGTAGAAAATTTAAACAGACCCATTACAAAAGAAGAGATTGAAGATGTCATCAAAAAACTGCAAACAAACAAAAAAGCCCAGGACCAAATGGCTACACTAGAGAATTCTACCAAGCATTCAGGGAAGAGTTGACACCAATCCTACTCAATCTCTTCAAAAACAAAGAAGAGGAAGGAACACTACTGAACTCTTTCTATGAAGCTAGCAAAAGCCTGATCCCTAAATCAGGCAAAGACATCACACACAAAAAAAGAAAATTACAGACCAGTATCCCTTATGAACATAGACGCAAAAATTTTCAACAAAATTCTAGCCAAAAAACTTCAGCAATACATCAAAAAATCATACACCAGGATCAAGTGGAATTCATACCACGATTACAAGGGTGGTTTAACATTAGAAAATCAATCAACGTAATCCACCACATAAATAAAACACAGGAAAAGAATCATATCAACTGATGCAGAAAAGGCATTAGATAAAATTCAACACCCTCTCCTGATAAAAACTCTCAGCAAAATAGGAATAGAAGGGAAGTTTCTCAATATAATTAAGGGCATATATGCAAAACCAAGAGCCGAAAGGCTGAGAGCATTCCCTTTAAGAACGGGAATGAGACAAGGATGCCCATTATCACCACTCTTATTCAACATTATACTGGAAGTCCCAGCCAGAACAATAACACAAGAAAGAGAAATAAAAGATATCCAAATCAGAAAGAAAGAAGTAAAACTATATCTATTTGCAGATGACATGATTGTATACATAGAAGACCCTAAAGATTCCACAAGAAAACAGCTGGAACTAATAAAAGAATTTAGCAACGTTGCAGGGTGCAAGATCAACACACAA